AGATCTGCTAGTGTCAGATTACATTAACTTCAGCCAGCAATAGATCTACTAATGTCAGATTACATTAACTTCAGCCAGCAATAGATCTGCTAGTGTCAGATTACATTAACTTCAGCCAGCAATAGATTCAATGACGTGCAGTGATTGTTGTTATTGGTCAAGAGAGAGAGATTAAACGAAACTACTTCGACTGAAATATAAACACATTCCTTTTATATCGATTTTTCGCCTTTTCCAGACCATTTTCAGACGATTGAGCGGATTTAAACACACCCCTATAAGAACTGTTTACAGAATTATAGGTCTGACCGTGATGATTTAAAACATTGAACATATTCGCTTCAAGTCCTTAACCTACAAATCACAAAGTACTTATTTTATGAACATTCAAGTACACATTCTTTATGGATTCCTGCTAGTCTTTTGGAAACGAAAGGGTTCCGGATTCTAACTTTCTATAATAGCATATATTGGTGGGCACAAAAGGTGGGCACTGATTCTCCTTCGCAGGACTGTGGTCGGGAGGCTCCCCTTTTAGAAGTCACGGTTTTCATGCAGCTAACTGTTATTGAGTAGCAGTTTGTCACCAGATAATAGCCAGTGTGCTTGAAAGTTGACGGTTGCTTAGACTGATCGTGAAGAACGCCTATTAGCGACAAAAGGTGGCACTGTATTCGTTTAAATAGTTTGGTTTGGCTGTTATTAAGCGCAAAGCTACACAATAAGTTATCTGTGCTCTGCCCACCACGGGTATCGAAACTCGACTGTTAGGTCATAAGCCTACAGACTTACCACTGAGCCACTAGGGAAGAGGGCTAAATAGTATTATTGATGTTTTATTGCAGTTTTTTTTTCTTTTTAAATGGGCTATCTATACTCTATCAAACCGCAGGGAATCGAATACCGGATTTCAGCATTATAAGTCCGGAAACTTACCACTGGTGTTGTGTTATGTTTTAGGTCAGATTATTGTTGCTAGAACTAATGTAAAGAGAATACTGTTACTCTGTTGCCACTGGACTTTGTTAATTTTAACCCCCGCATATTTAAATAAAGGGTCAAACAGACATTAATTAATGTGCAGAAACACGATATCTTAACTATAAATGGAAAAGATGGTATTCAACGATTACGAAAACTGCTTTGTTTGTGGTCGTTCATTTTCGAGGTCCTCCAAATAAGTGTAATGGGCGTGGCTCAGTGGTATGTGTGCCGGTCGACGAATCAGAAGATCCTAGTTCGAACCCTTTGTATGCAATTATAAGCACTTTAAAAACAAAGACGGTTAATCTTGTTAGTTGGTCAAGAGTAGCCGTTGGTTAGTTGGTAGGTGGCAAGTGCTATCCCTCCCTCTGGTCAGTTGTCCAAAATAAGTGGTGCCTATGTCTTAGTCTTCGGGTCTCTGACCTGACAGATTAGCCAAGTGTTACGTAATGTACTGTTCAGATTGAAGCTACCAAATACCTCAACATATGATTGGACCGTCACCTTTAATAACGCGCCAATGGCAGCAAAGTGTGGAGAGCGAGTTTTGTTTAAATATTGCGTGTGTGTTTTTTAGGGTACATAATGTGACGCGAACATTGGATCCTCAGATTCAAAATCTGGCACGTGAATC